TCGCGCGCCTGGGGAAGACTCGACGGTACCCGGTGCGGCCGTCCCTCCTCCACGGCGCGCGTCCTCATCCTCCACCCGTCCTGTGCGTCGTCCTACTTCCTATCGTTGCTGCGGTCCGTCCACGGCGCCTCACCATAGCGCCATCTCGGAGACGTCCTCGGCATGGTCCATCCGGAATCTTCTGCTCTCTGGGGGGGTCCCTCGCCGTCGGTTACATGCGGGAAGTGTCGGTGTCGACGATCCGTCCAACGGCAAACAGACCATGCACGCAAGGGCCAGGATAGTAGGAGAGAAAGATATGACAGAAGTGGGGGGGGGGGAGTAAACAACGTACTACGAGCCGGTAACAATCAGCATAACACTTTGTAATTTGTAATTTTTTTTTTTTTTTTTCTCTGGAATGAACGAGGCAATCCGCAAGGATCATCTTGAACCTCGAGCATTCCGATAAAGGGATAGAAGGAGAGAATAAGGATTATATGCACAAAAATATCGGTGCCTTATGGCCTAGGTCCATCATACGGGGGACACGAGGAAGCACGCTCGACGGGCTTACTGCTAATTCGTTCCTCTTCCCTATGCATCCGATATGCCTTCGCGTAGCACACCCCAAACGCTAATAGGAGGAGCAACACGCCTGCCAAAGAGACATAGATAGGGTAGATAAAATCTACATGAAATCTCGACATCAACCCCACGTCCGCGTCCTGAACCTTACTAACGTCCCTTAAATGTAACCTCGGGATCGTGACGTTGAGTGTCGGCAAGGTCAGGATCGCAGGCTTAATCGCTATAGGATCTGCAGCGACGTCCGTGACAATGGACTTGATTGCCGGAATTTGCAACAACAGGGAACGTAACCCGCAATGATGAGGTAGTACAAAGGTTCCCTGCAACTTCCTATCTGGCTGAATCTCCTCGCAAGCAATTGTGGCGGCCGTTGGCTGATAGAAATAAATCAGTGTCACTTGCGAAAGGCTGAGCATGAAAGGTGAGAGCTGATCCTGAACTTCCTCGAAGGAACAGAGGGAGGTGATCAGCCCTCCGGAAACAAGAGCACGAGCACAAGATGGAGTCTGAAGAGAAGAAGGTAGAGGCGAAGAAAAGCACACGAATGTGTCCCTAGTAGGCCTTGAACAAGAGTCTAAGAAGTCGGAGGAAGGGAAAGATAAAGCATGTCCTCCTAATTCTCGAAGAATGAATGTGTGCGGCACGTGAACCATGTAATGTGAGTTATTTGTTTTGTGTGGGAAAGAGTGTATGCGGTACGCCTTAAAGACGGTAGAAGGACGCACTGGAATAATAACAGACAGCCCTGAGGAAGTGAGGAAGGACCTCAGGCTGGCGTAAAACCGAGTGCGTTTCGTTAAGGGGAAGAGAGTCTTGAAGGAAGACACTCTCTGAAGTACCGCGCCCATGTCGGTAGGCGAGATTAAGTCAAGTGACACCTCTCCGTGCGCTGCACGAATGAGAGCCGATGCCATACTTGTCACTCGCTGTATAAGCTTGTTCATCGTGCTCTGGTATGAGAAAATAGTTAAGGTTAAAGAGGTAAGATGAGACACCTTGTTCACTGTACCTGCAATGTGACCGACCTTACTTCGCACAATATTAAAGTCAGAAGCTAATTCCTGAACGTTGCGTTCGAGCGTGTTGACAGCGTGAGCAGACGAGTCGAAACTATGAACTACAGACGATAAGCCTTCCCTGTACTTATTGGTGTGAGATTCAACATCTGGACCTGACCTCCCGAGAAGGGCTACCCCCCGGGGCGAGGCAAAAAGGGAAAAAGTGACCATCCTCAGGCCCATGGGCGCCCGCTGCAGGGAGCCACGCCCTGGGCAGGAAATAGGGAGGCCACGCCCACGCGAAGGTCGGGCATTGGCAGTTTCTTTAGCCACGCCCCTGTAGCTCCGCCCCTGGCTTCCAATCATCGCTACTTATTCTCCAAGGATGGCCCGGTCAAAACAGAGTGTGACGAGAGTGTGCCGCGGGTCGGTCGAGGTCATACCTGCCCGCTGGGCTGGGCTTCCCGGATGACCCCAAGTGACCAGCAATAACCCAAGACTGTCATCGTGTGTGTTTATTCTCGGTGTGCTAACTCTATCAATAAAAGAGTTTTTAGCCACTAAAGCTTTTACTACTTCCCCGTTACCAATGTAAAGAGGTGTTTATAGTAACTCTTACAGTGTGTTTGTCTCGTACTGATTTGATTCTTATCTATGAACGATTCATCCAATTGTATTTTTTTTGTGGTAATGATTTTATTTGAAGACATTTTATTTTATATATTACATAAAGAGCGTATCAGTAAGTTGATAAACCATATAGACGGTAAGGAACATTTTACTCAGACAACAAAACTTGTCGAATCTCCCCGACGATACGACACATTTTTACCGCTGGTTGTATGCACCTAAGCCCCTCCCATGACTAGAATTGCCACATTCGAAGATCGATTACATACATCCTTATTTTACTCTAATTTCATTTGTTTATAGCATAAGGACTATGTCTAAATATTGTATATCAAAGAATTTCTTTCACTTAATAATATTGGATAATTGGAGTATGGAGCATGTGTATTGTACTATTCTAGAGAAATTATTGTTTCTCGTCCCTCCCCCACTCGGCCTCGGGCGGATCTCGTTTTGCTACCACAAAGCGGTACACCAAAGAGGATAATACGTTGCGGACGTCCATTGTTTATCTATTATTTTTCCATGACAAGCTGCATACACTCCTCCATGTTTTTGTTTCGTCATAAATGTTACCCACAGAAAGTGGTCCCAGGTGTAATGATGTTACTCTATTACTATAATTCTTATTAAATTCTACCTACCTTTGGAGTGACACATGTTAACCTACATAATGTCAAAAACTGTAATATACGTCTAGTGTGGCCTAATTAGCTTACAAGGTTACAGATATGCGTTGGTGTTGCTTTCATTCTTAGCATGATTAATCTCTCCTTTTGTGTTTCTGGAATATCGCTCAACTCTTTCATAAAGGTTTCGCATTGACATGTCATAGAGCCCGATATGTACACCACATTCCCAGTATTTACAAAATCATCACTAAAATCTATAATCTTCAGTTCAGCGTCGGTATCTGAATTAGATTATCCAACACGTTGATCGATGTTTCTACTAATAAACACGTTTAGTATCATCCATGGGAGTTTTTGTCTTATTTACAAATTTCAAGACAAAGGTATTCGTTATTTTCAATCAACTTTACGGTGTTGTTACATTTTCTGTAATTTGGAATTTCTGCATAAGCTACAGTACTGCTCATTTCATATCTCCGTAGATACTCTTTAAAATCATCACTATTAATAATGATAGTAGTAGTAATTAACCCAATTGTGCCGGGAAAAATGAACAAAAAATGGAGAAAATGCTGTGCCCACTTTCTATGTTTTTCGTGAAATGTCTGCCGATAGATGGCTCTGCTAGCGCCTGATTTGAAATGGCGGGAAAAACAGTATTTTTCACTAGTGCTATGAAAATCGATGGTGTTATTTTTATCATAAACATTATAATTTTTATAATGTTTTTTAACATTAGTAACAGCAAAATAAGATAACGTAAAATATTTCGTAAATCAAAGAAACGGGTAAACGGGCGAGATGGGCGGGACTCGTAACTGGCTCATTGGTGATTTAGTACAAGTGTTGCCATCTATGCGTAAAAACAATCAAACAAGTACTCACGGTGGGCATAGCATGTACGTACACGTCATACCCGGCACCAATGGATTAAATCACTAGTGTTATTGTAATTATCATTATCAACTTCTACACTATCATTCTTCTCCCATGCATACTACGTTCCCATACATCAATCAAATGAGTCTTTACATACTTACGAGATTGTATTTAGCTTTTGCTACAACTAACGACCACCGTTTACTTGGTAGCAGCGGTGGGATAAATCAAGCAGAGTAACCACCTTGATAGTAATGAGATCATGCTTTTCTGCGATCAGGTAAACAAGCGAGATTACAGGTAAACTAGCACTTAAAACAAAGCTTGTGCATACCTTAGTGCTAAAACAGGCACTGTGGTTAGAACAGTTACCCGCTGATAACCATACGGATATGAGCGTACACGGAAATTTCTTGTTTTATTTGTGCTGATAAGCTGCATATCGTTGAAGTTTGTATTGGTAATTGCACAGATTTTTCAATATGGGGAAACAGAGTAAGAGAACGCATAAAGACGAGCTTACCACAGGGCTGTTAAATGCTAGTTCACAGTGGTCAGCTGAGGTATCGCGAGAAGTCATACCAATGCAGTCAAGGAGAATCTAGACTTGCCAATGTATGAAGAGTTAAGTCAGGAACAGTACGCCGGACTAGCGCAGAGATATGGCGTTCAAAGTAGTAGCAATTGCCTTATTAAAGGCTTACGGCAGGTGCATGAGAGTGTTACATTGCAAGTACTCCCGGTAGTGGTCAATTGTGGTTGATGCATACATTATGGAGCAGATCTCAATGATATGACAGGAATGCCACGGTAATAAAGTGTGATGCAGAAGTAAATTATACATTTTATGTGAGTGTATTAGAAAAACGATGAGCACCGAGAGAAAAGTGGCAAACTGTGTTACAGTATATACCAACGATCATACCACGTTGAAAGCATCGCTTCTCGTCCAATCAGCGAAGTTAAGCAATAAATATGTCTAGTCGGTGCTTGGATGGGTGACCGCCTGGGAACACTGTTGGTAGTTTATTATATATGCTAAATATGTTACGTATTTCTTTATTACTTTTAGCAACTCTCCTTATATATGTATAAAGAAATCAATTGAAATTGTTCTTCAATCAACAAGAAATAGAGTAAAAGTCAACGCCGTCGGATTTAGAAAGAAGGATAAACAGAAAACGGATTGGAGTATAACTAAAGTAAAGTAGAATTATAATGATTGCACTACCAATATTCATATTAGTAATGATGTTTACACATCGCTCATTTATTTCAACAGTGACATAACTCAAAAATTGAAGATTTTGAGTTAGTTATATCACTGAATTTGTCATTTTCTATATTTATTTGTGGTAAGAACGCCATAACTCTAGTATCAAAATTGTCCATTATATGTCGCTCAAGGCATAGTGACTCATTTTCTTTCAGACGAATCGTTTAGTTGGCATAGCGTTTTATTTCAGTTACGTCTTGACTCTTGCAGAGGAAGCATCGTTTTAGCTCCTGCTACAGTGACATATTTCTTGTTATGACAGTGTTCTGACAAGGTTAGTAATTGTTTGTTATCTTAACGTTTTGTTGAACAATGAATTATTTAGACTTAATGCGATATTGAAATGATATGTATTAAATTTCTTGCCTATATATGTCACAATATGACATTGTTGAAACTAAATGGTGTATGCGCAATCAAAATATTTTGTTTTGTGTCATTCTTACAACCAAACAAGCAGTCACTTGACTGTATGGAATTAGATCTAAGTAAAATTATGGCATTATTGAAACAAAACTGTTCAGAATTGCAATTTCAGTCATGATACATCTTTTATTATGTCATTCTTGCAACAAAGTATGTTACTAGGATATGTTTAAAGCTACATTTAAGACATTTACTCTAAGCATGATGTTTAAGTATTAACCTTATAAATCAATAAATTTGATCTTATTACAGGTAAATATGACCAGTCGAGGAAAACAACTCTTACAATTAGCATTGGAATCGGTAGAAAACACAAAACAAGCATCATCCAAGGAGCCTGAAGTGACTGAAACTTTCTCTGAGTCAGGTAAGCTGGTGAAGGATTAAGATTTGTCTAATATTTCATATAATTAAATCAACGATAAAAATATTTACCTTCAAATTATCTCCTACGTAATGCAAGTAGGCCTACTGTATAATCATTATAGCCTAATGGACATCATTACTGTAGCGAATACCATTGGTATTTTTTTTAATAAGTCTCCCCCCAAAATATTTTATGAATTCATGCATGTTGCATAATAATGTATCTTATATTGTTCCAGGAAAGAATGTCGAAGTCCTAGTAAACCAAAACGAGACACCACCAAGTTCTTCCCAGAACACCAAGAGTGTAGGCCTAGGGATGTCGACAATGCAGTGCACACATTTGGGTGAAAGGCGTAATTCTACATCAAGCAATATTTCTTCATCAAGTAATAGCTCTTCATCAAGCAGCAGCACCTCATCATCCTCGTCAAAGAGCAGTGCATCATCAACTCATGCAGCAACACCAGAAGATGTGCTAGACTCTGATGATTCTGTTGCAGATAAGACCTACGAACCAAATTATGATGAAGATTCAGAAGGAGTTGGTAGTAATGACGATGACTCTTCCCTGACTCCAAATGTTGATACTGCTACACTTGGAAATAAGGACACCAAAGAATTAGAGAGCCCAGCTAAAAAAAGGTTCGAAAAGGAAGAAACAACCAGAAAAGTGGGGGCGACATCTCCAGAAAAAACTAAGAAATGAAGGAAAACGGTATGTAATGCACACCAAAGACAGAAAAGAAAGGGAAGAAAGAAAAGTAAAGCCTCCTTGCAAGGAAAAATGCAGGTTGAAGTGCTCAATGAAATTTACTGAGGAACAAAGAATGTCCATATTTGCATCGTACTGGGAACTAGGTGATATTGACAGACAAAGGCAGTTTATTGCCAATTCAATTGATGAAATTGTACCTAGGTACAGATATGTTCGTATAGGAGGTACAAGACAACAAAGAAAACCAAACAATGCTTTTTATTTCAAACTGAATGAAGGAAGAGTTAGGGTGTGCAAATTGTTTTTCATAAACACATTAGATATTAATGACCGCCCTATCCGCACAGTCCTGGAAAAGAAGAACAAAGTTTGTGAAAACTTGATTGAAAATGATCTCAGAGGTAAACACAGTAATCACCACACTGTTGATGAAAGCATCAAGGACGGAATGAGGGCTCATATTGATTCCATTCCAAAAATTGAGAGTCATTACCTCAGGGCTAATACATCAAGAGTTTTCATTGACGGAAGCAAGACTGTTGCTGATATCCATAGAGATTATGTTTCAAACTGCAAAGAGAATAATGCACCGTTTGGGAACTACTCTATGTTCTACAAGGTGTTCACTGAAGATTACAATATTTCTTTTTTCACCCCGAAAAAAGATCAATGTGACACCTGCGCAACCTTTGAAAATGCAAGTAAAACTGAAAGAGATAATCTGCAACAGAAGTATGATCAGCACCAAGTTGAAAAAGAATTGTCAAGATCTGCGAAAGCTAGTGATAAAGTATCATCAAATGCTGCTGTAGCAGTTTATGATTTGCAGGCTGTATTCCAACTGCCCAAAGGAGATGTAATTAACTGTTCGGTAAAGCTTAATTTCTTGATGATGCAAATTAATAGACGACTGGATGATATAGAATTAGGAAAACTTTCTAATATATATATTTTTTCTCAAGGGAAAACGCTTGAACCATTGCTGCCTCGCCACCGCCGCCACCATCATCCTCATTACCATTACCATCACCATCGTCACCATTACCATTCCCATCACCGAGCATGATATCAGTAGGAGAGAAATCTTAATAACTATTCTTTTTTGCTTAGTCCCCAACCTCCGGCAGCATTTCACACACACGCAAACTTTTGTTTACTCCCCAACTCTAGGTAACATTCTCTCACACAAACACACACACTTGAAAAAAAGTTTTGGCCTTCGAAAATCAAGTAACATTCCACACGCAAACAGAAAACAGATTATCATAACGCTCGCTAAGTAGCATTTCTAACGTATACAAATTATTATTCATACTATATAAATTAAATTCAGCATTAGATTCATCAGTTAAACGGTCACCTTCATCACTGTCGACAATTAATAATAACAAAACAACCTAGACCATTTAATCTGCGCAATACAAAACTTGATAAGCCCAGAGCCACTACAAAACTTGGTGCCCCTAATTAAACATGAGTTCTGTCTCTCCCTCTGCGTACTGGTGCCCCTAATAAAGAAGTTTACTTCTCCTAATCAAAATAGTTTTTTTTTTTTCGTCCTTATATCTTAGTGGCCCTATTTAGCATGAGCTTTCTCCTCCCTCCTGTAACTTAGGGCCCCTAATTAAAGATGAGTTTTCTCACTCCCTATAACCAAAATTACTATCCCATCTCAGAGTCCACATATTGTGTAAATGCCGATAAAATATATGAGAACTATGATATAATGAAGAGAAGAAATATGAATGATGAAACACTTATAAAAAAGTTGTCCGGATCACACGCAAACATATCGCTCATTTATTTCAACAGTGACATAACTCAAAAATTGAAGATTTTGAGTTAGTTATATCACTGAATTTGTCATTTTCTATATTTATTTGTGGTAAGAACGCCATAACTCTAGTATCAAAATTGTCCATTATATGTCGCTCAAGGCATAGTGACTCATTTTCTTTCAGACGAATCGTTTAGTTGGCATAGCGTTTTATTTCAGTTACGTCTTGACTCTTGCAGAGGAAGCATCGTTTTAGCTCCTGCTACAGTGACATATTTCTTGTTATGACAGTGTTCTGACAAGGTTAGTAATTGTTTGTTATCTTAACGTTTTGTTGAACAATGAATTATTTAGACTTAATGCGATATTGAAATGATATGTATTAAATTTCTTGCCTATATATGTCACAATATGACATTGTTGAAACTAAATGGTGTATGCGCAATCAAAATATTTTGTTTTGTGTCATTCTTACAACCAAACAAGCAGTCACTTGACTGTATGGAATTAGATCTAAGTAAAATTATGGCATTATTGAAACAAAACTGTTCAGAATTGCAATTTCAGTCATGATACATCTTTTATTATGTCATTCTTGCAACAAAGTATGTTACTAGGATATGTTTAAAGCTACATTTAAGACATTTACTCTAAGCATGATGTTTAAGTATAACCTTATAAATCAATAAATTTGATCTTATTACAGGTAAATATGACCAGTCGAGGAAAACAACTCTTACAATTAGCATTGGAATCGGTAGAAAACACAAAACAAGCATCATCCAAGGAGCCTGAAGTGACTGAAACTTTCTCTGAGTCAGGTAAGCTGGTGAAGGATTAAGATTTGTCTAATATTTCATATAATTAAATCAACGATGATAAAAATATTTACCTTCAAATTATCTCCTACGTAATGCAAGTAGGCCTACTGTATAATCATTATAGCCTAATGGACATCATTACTGTAGCGAATACCATTGGTATTTTTTTAATAAGTCTCCCCCCAAAATATTTTATGAATTCATGCATGTTGCATAATAATGTATCTTATATTGTTCCAGGAAAGAATGTCGAAGTCCTAGTAAACCAAAACGAGACACCACCAAGTTCTTCCCAGAACACCAAGAGTGTAGGCCTAGGGATGTCGACAATGCAGTGCACACATTTGAGTGAAAGGCGTAATTCTACATCAAGCAATATTTCTTCATCAAGTAATAGCTCTTCATCAAGCAGCAGCACCTCATCATCCTCGTCAAAGAGCAGTGCATCATCAACTCATGCAGCAACACCAGAAGATGTGCTAGACTCTGATGATTCTGTTGCAGATAAGACCTACGAACCAAATTATGATGAAGATTCAGAAGGAGTTGGTAGTAATGACGATGACTCTTCCCTGACTCCAAATGTTGATACTGCTACACTTGGAAATAAGGACACCAAAGAATTAGAGAGCCCAGCTAAAAAAGGTTCGAAAAGGAAGAAACAACCAGAAAAGTGGGGGCGACATCTCCAGAAAAAACTAAGAAATGAAGGAAAACGGTATGTAATGCACACCAAAGACAGAAAAGAAAGGGAAGAAAGAAAAGTAAAGCCTCCTTGCAAGGAAAAATGCAGGTTGAAGTGCTCAATGAAATTTACTGAGGAACAAAGAATGTCCATATTTGCATCGTACTGGGAACTAGGTGATATTGACAGACAAAGGCAGTTTATTGCCAATTCAATTGATGAAATTGTACCTAGGTACAGATATGTTCGTATAGGAGGTACAAGACAACAAAGAAAACCAAACAATGCTTTTTATTTCAAACTGAATGAAGGAAGAGTTAGGGTGTGCAAATTGTTTTTCATAAACACATTAGATATTAATGACCGCCCTATCCGCACAGTCCTGGAAAAGAAGAACAAAGTTTGTGAAAACTTGATTGAAAATGATCTCAGAGGTAAACACAGTAATCACCACACTGTTGATGAAAGCATTAAGGACGGAATGAGGGCTCATATTGATTCCATTCCAAAAATTGAGAGTCATTACCTCAGGGCTAATACATCAAGAGTTTTCATTGACGGAAGCAAGACTGTTGCTGATATCCATAGAGATTATGTTTCAAACTGCAAAGAGAATAATGCACCGTTTGGGAACTACTCTATGTTCTACAAGGTGTTCACTGAAGATTACAATATTTCTTTTTTCACCCCGAAAAAAGATCAATGTAACACCTGCGCAACCTTTGAAAATGCAAGTAAAACTGAAAGAGATAATCTGCAACAGAAGTATGATCAGCACCAAGTTGAAAAAGAATTGTCAAGATCTGCGAAAGCTAGTGATAAAGTATCATCAAATGCTGCTGTAGCAGTTTATGATTTGCAGGCTGTATTCCAACTGCCCAAAGGAGATGTAATTAACTGTTCGGTAAAGCTTAATTTCTTGATGATGCAAATTAATAGACGACTGGATGATATAGAATTAGGAAAACTTTCTAATATATATATTTTTTCTCAAGGGAAAACGCTTGAACCATTGCTGCCTCGCCACCGCCGCCACCATCATCCTCATTACCATTACCATCACCATCGTCACCATTACCATTCCCATCACCGAGCATGATATCAGTAGGAGAGAAATCTTAATAACTATTCTTTTTTGCTTAGTCCCCAACCTCCGGCAGCATTTCACACACACGCAAACTTTTGTTTACTCCCCAACTCTAGGTAACATTCTCTCACACAAACACACATACTTGAAAAAAAGTTTTGGCCTTCGAAAATCAAGTAACATTCCACACGCAAACAGAAAACAGATTATCATAACGCTCGCTAAGTAGCATTTCTAACGTATACAAATTATTATTCATACTATATAAATTAAATTCAGCATTAGATTCATCAGTTAAACGGTCACCTTCATCACTGTCGACAATTAATAATAACAAAACAACCTAGACCATTTAATCTGCGCAATACAAAACTTGATAAGCCCAGAGCCACTACAAAACTTGGTGCCCCTAATTAAACATGAGTTCTGTCTCTCCCTCTGCGTACTGGTGCCCCTAATTAAACTTCTCCTAATCAAAATAGTTTTTTTTTTTTCGTCCTTATATCTTAGTGGCCCTATTTAGCATGAGCTTTCTCCTCCCTCCTGTAACTTAGGGCCCCTAATTAAAGATGAGTTTTCTCACTCCCTATAACCAAAATTACTATCCCATCTCAGAGTCCACATATTGTGTAAATGCCGATAAAATATATGAGGAGAACTATGATATAATGAAGAGAAGAAATATGAATGATGAAACACTTATAAAAAAGTTGTCCGGATCACACGCAAACATATCGCTCATTTATTTCAACAGTGACATAACTCAAAAATTGAAGATTTTGAGTTAGTTATATCACTGAATTTGTCATTTTCTATATTTATTTGTGGTAAGAACGCCATAACTCTAGTATCAAAATTGTCCATTATATGTCGCTCAAGGCATAGTGACTCATTTTCTTTCAGACGAATCGTTTAGTTGGCATAGCGTTTTATTTCAGTTACGTCTTGACTCTTGCAGAGGAAGCATCGTTTTAGCTCCTGCTACAGTGACATATTTCTTGTTATGACAGTGTTCTGACAAGGTTAGTAATTGTTTGTTATCTTAACGTTTTGTTGAACAATGAATTATTTAGACTTAATGCGATATTGAAATGATATGTATTAAATTTCTTGCCTATATATGTCACAATATGACATTGTTGAAACTAAATGGTGTATGCGCAATCAAAATATTTTGTTTTGTGTCATTCTTACAACCAAACAAGCAGTCACTTGACTGTATGGAATTAGATCTAAGTAAAATTATGGCATTATTGAAACAAAACTGTTCAGAATTGCAATTTCAGTCATGATACATCTTTTATTATGTCATTCTTGCAACAAAGTATGTTACTAGGATATGTTTAAAGCTACATTTAAGACATTTACTCTAAGCATGATGTTTAAGTATTAACCTTATAAATCAATAAATTTGATCTTATTACAGGTAAATATGACCAGTCGAGGAAAACAACTCTTACAATTAGCATTGGAATCGGTAGAAAACACAAAACAAGCATCATCCAAGGAGCCTGAAGTGACTGAAACTTTCTCTGAGTCAGGTAAGCTGGTGAAGGATTAAGATTTGTCTAATATTTCATATAATTAAATCAACGATGATAAAAATATTTACCTTCAAATTATCTCCTACGTAATGCAAGTAGGCCTACTGTATAATCATTATAGCCTAATGGACATCATTACTGTAGCGAATACCATTGGTATTTTTTTAATAAGTCTCCCCCCAAAATATTTTATGAATTCATGCATGTTGCATAATAATGTATCTTATATTGTTCCAGGAAAGAATGTCGAAGTCCTAGTAAACCAAAACGAGACACCACCAAGTTCTTCCCAGAACACCAAGAGTGTAGGCCTAGGGATGTCGACAATGCAGTGCACACATTTGGGTGAAAGGCGTAATTCTACATCAAGCAATATTTCTTCATCAAGTAATAGCTCTTCATCAAGCAGCAGCACCTCATCATCCTCGTCAAAGAGCAGTGCATCATCAACTCATGCAGCAACACCAGAAGATGTGCTAGACTCTGATGATTCTGTTGCAGATAAGACCTACGAACCAAATTATGATGAAGATTCAGAAGGAGTTGGTAGTAATGACGATGACTCTTCCCTGACTCCAAATGTTGATACTGCTACACTTGGAAATAAGGACACCAAAGAATTAGAGAGCCCAGCTAAAAAAGGTTCGAAAAGGAAGAAACAACCAGAAAAGTGGGGGCGACATCTCCAGAAAAAACTAAGAAATGAAGGAAAACGGTATGTAATGCACACCAAAGACAGAAAAGAAAGGGAAGAAAGAAAAGTAAAGCCTCCTTGCAAGGAAAAATGCAGGTTGAAGTGCTCAATGAAATTTACTGAGGAACAAAGAATGTCCATATTTGCATCGTACTGGGAACTAGGTGATATTAACAGACAAAGGCAGTTTATTGCCAATTCAATTGATGAAATTGTACCTAGGTACAGATATGTTCGTATAGGAGGTACAAGACAACAAAGAAAACCAAACAATGCTTTTTATTTCAAACTGAATGAAGGAAGAGTTAGGGTGTGCAAATTGTTTTTCATAAACACATTAGATATTAATGACCGCCCTATCCGCACAGTCCTGGAAAAGAAGAACAAAGTTTGTGAAAACTTGATTGAAAATGATCTCAGAGGTAAACACAGTAATCACCACACTGTTGATGAAAGCATCAAGGACGGAATGAGGGCTCATATTGATTCCATTCCAAAAATTGAGAGTCATTACCTCAGGGCTAATACATCAAGAGTTTTCATTGACGGAAGCAAGACTGTTGCTGATATCCATAGAGATTATGTTTCAAACTGCAAAGAGAATAATGCACCGTTTGGGAACTACTCTATGTTCTACAAGGTGTTCACTGAAGATTACAATATTTCTTTTTTCACCCCGAAAAAAGATCAATGTGACACCTGCGCAACCTTTGAAAATGCAAGTAAAACTGAAAGAGATAATCTGCAACAGAAGTATGATCAGCACCAAGTTGAAAAAGAATTGTCAAGATCTGCGAAAGCTAGTGATAAAGTATCATCAAATGCTGCTGTAGCAGTTTATGATTTGCAGGCTGTATTCCAACTGCCCAAAGGAGATGTAATTAACTGTTCGGTAAAGCTTAATTTCTTGATGATGCAAATTAATAGACGACTGGATGATATAGAATTAGGAAAACTTTCTAATATATATATTTTTTCTCAAGGGAAAACGCTTGAACCATTGCTGCCTCGCCACCGCCGCCACCATCATCCTCATTACCATTACCATCACCATCGTCACCATTACCATTCCCATCACCGAGCATGATATCAGTAGGAGAGAAATCTTAATAACTATTCTTTTTTGCTTAGTCCCCAACCTCCGGCAGCATTTCACACACACGCAAACTTTTGTTTACTCCCCAACTCTAGGTAACATTCTCTCACACAAACACACACACTTGAAAAAAAGTTTTGGCCTTCGAAAATCAAGTAACATTCCACACGCAAACAGAAAACAGATTATCATAACGCTCGCTAAGTAACATTTCTAACGTATACAAATTATTATTCATACTATATAAATTAAATTCAGCATTAGATTCATCAGTTAAACGGTCACCTTCATCACTGTCGACAATTAATAATAACAAAACAACCTAGACCATTTAATCTGCGCAATACAAAACTTGATAAGCCCAGAGCCACTACAAAACTTGGTGCCCCTAATTAAACATGAGTTCTGTCTCTCCCTCTGCGTACTGGTGCCCCTAATAAAGAAGTTTACTTCTCCTAATCAAAATAGTTTTTTTTTTCGTCCTTATATCTTAGTGGCCCTATTTAGCATGAGCTTTCTCCTCCCTCCTGTAACTTAGGGCCCCTAATTAAAGATGAGTTTTCTCACTCCCTATAACCAAAATTACTATCCCATCTCAGAGTCCACATATTGTGTAAATGCCGATAAAATATATGAGGAGAACTATGATATAATGAAGAGAAGAAATATGAATGATGAAACACTTATAAAAAAGTTGTCCGGATCACACGCAAACATATCGCTCATTTATTTCAACAGTGACATAACTCAAAAATTGAAGATTTTGAGTTAGTTATATCACTGAATTTGTCATTTTCTATATTTATTTGTGGTAAGAACGCCATAACTCTAGTATCAAAATTGTCCATTATATGTCGCTCAAGGCATAGTGACTCATTTTCTTTCAGACGAATCGTTTAGTTGGCATAGCGTTTTATTTCAGTTACGTCTTGACTCTTGCAGAGGAAGCATCGTTTTAGCTCCTGCTACAGTGACATATTTCTTGTTATGACAGTGTTCTGACAAGGTTAGTAATTGTTTGTTATCTTAACGTTTTGTTGAACAATGAATTATTTAGACTTAATGCGATATTGAAATGATATGTATTAAATTTCTTGCCTATATATGTCACAATATGACATTGTTGAAACTAAATGGTGTATGCGCAATCAAAATATTTTGTTTTGTGTCATTCTTACAACCAAACAAGCAGTCACTTGACTGTATGGAATTAGATCTAAGTAAAATTATGGCATTATTGAAACAAAACTGTTCAGAATTGCAATTTCAGTCATGATACATCTTTTATTATGTCATTCTTGCAACAAAGTATGTTACTAGGATATGTTTAAAGCTACATTTAAGACATTTACTCTAAGCATGATGTTTAAGTATTAACCTTATAAATCAATAAATTTGATCTTATTACAGGTAAATATGACCAGTCGAGGAAAACAACTCTTACAATTAGCATTGGAATCGGTAGAAAACACAAAACAAGCATCATCCAAGGAGCCTGAAGTGACTGAAACTTTCTCTGAGTCAGGTAAGCTGGTGAAGGATTAAGATTTGTCTAATATTTCATATAATTAAATCAACGATGATAAAAATATTTACCTTCAAATTATCTCCTACGTAATGCAAGTAGGCCTACTGTATAATCATTATAGCCTAATGGACATCATTACTGTAGCGAATACCATTGGTATTTTTTTAATAAGTCTCCCCCCAAAATATTTTATGAATTCATGCATGTTGCATAATAATGTATCTTATATTGTTCCAGGAAAGAATGTCGAAGTCCTAGTAAACCAAAACGAGACACCACCAAGTTCTTCCCAGAACACCAAGAGTGTAGGCCTAGGGATGTCGACAATGCAGTGCACACATTTGGGTGAAAGGCGTAATTCTACATCAAGCAATATTTCTTCATCAAGTAATAGCTCTTCATCAAGCAGCAGCACCTCATCATCCTCGTCAAAGAGCAGTGCATCATCAACTCATGCAGCAACACCAGAAGATGTGCTAGACTCTGATGATTCTGTTGCAGATAAGACCTACGAACCAAATTATGATGAAGATTCAGAAGGAGTTGGTAGTAATGACGATGACTCTTCCCTGACTCCAAATGTTGATACTGCTACACTTGGAAATAAGGACACCAAAGAATTAGAGAGCCCAGCTAAAAAAGGTTCGAAAAGGAAGAAACAACTAGAAAAGTGGGGGCGACATCTCCATAAAAAACTAAGAAATGAAGGAAAACGGTATGTAATGCACACCAAAGACAGAAAAGAAAGGGAAGAAAGAAAAGTAAAGCCTCCTTGCAAGGAAAAATGCAGGTTGAAGTGCTCAATGAAATTTACTGAGGAACAAAGAATGTCCATATTTGCATCGTACTGGGAACTAGGTGATATTGACAGACAAAGGCAGTTTATTGCCAATTCAATTGATGAAATTGTACCTAGGTACAGATATGTTCGTATAGGAGGTACAAGACAACAAAGAAAACCAAACAATGCTTTTTATTTCAAACTGAATGAAGGAAGAGTTAGGGTGTGCAAATTGTTTTTCATAAACACATTAGATATTAATGACCGCCCTATCCGCACAGTCCTGGAAAAGAAGAACAAAGTTTGTGAAAACTTGATTGAAAATGATCTCAGAGGTAAACACAGTAATCACCACACTGTTGATGAAAGCATCAAGGACGGAATGAGGGCTCATATTGATTCCATTCCAAAAATTGAGAGTCATTACCTCAGGGCTAATACATCAAGAGTTTTCATTGACGGAAACAAGACTGTTGCTGATATCCATAGAGATTATGTTTCAAACTGCAAAGAGAATAATGCATCGTTTGGGAACTACTCTATGTTCTACAAGGTGTTCACTGAAGATTACAATATTTCTTTTTTCACCCCGAAAAAAGATCAATGTGACACCTGCGCAACCTTTGAAAATGCAAGTAAAACTGAAAGAGATAATCTGCAACAGAAGTATGATCAGCACCAAGTTGAAAAAGAATTGTCAAGATCTGCGAAAGCTAGTGATAAAGTATCATCAAATGCTGCTGTAGCAGTTTATGATTTGCAGGCTGTATTCCAACTGCCCAAAGGAGATGTAATTAACTGTTCGGTAAAGCTTAATTTCTTGATGATGCAAATTAATAGACGACTGGATGATATAGAATTAGGAAAACTTTCTAATATATATATTTTTTCTCAAGGGAAAACGCTTGAACCATTGCTGCCTCGCCACCGCCGCCACCATCATCCTCATTACCATTACCATCACCATCGTCACCATTACCATTCCCATCACCGAGCATGATATCAGTAGGAGAGAAATCTTAATAACTATTCTTTTTTGCTTAGTCCCCAACCTCCGGCAGCATTTCACACACACGCAAACTTTTGTTTACTCCCCAACTCTAGGTAACATTCTCTCACACAAACACACACTTGAAAAAAAGTTTTGGCCTTCGAAAATCAAGTAACATTCCACACGCAAACAGAAAACAGATTATCATAACGCTCGCTAAGTAGCATTTCTAACGTATACAAATTATTATTCATACTATATAAATTAAATTCAGCATTAGATTCATCAGTTAAACGGTCACCTTCATCACTGTCGACAATTAATAATAACAAAACAACCTAGACCATTTAATCTGCGCAATACAAAACTTGATAAGCCCAGAGCCACTACAAAACTTGGTGCCCCTAATTAAACATGAGTTCTGTCTCTCCCTCTGCGTACTGGTGCCCCTAATTAAACTTCTCCTAATCAAAATAGTTTTTTTTTTTTCGTCCTTATATCTTAGTGGCCCTATTTAGCATGAGCTTTCTCCTCCCTCCTGTAACTTAGGGCCCCTAATTAAAGATGAGTTTTCTCACTCCCTATAACCAAAATTACTATCCCATCTCAGAGTCCACATATTGTGTAAATGCCGATAAAATATATGAGGAGAACTATGATATAATGAAGAGAAGAAATATGAATGATGAAACACTTATAAAAAAGTTGTCCGGATCACACGCAAACATATCGCTCATTTATTTCAACAGTGACATAACTCAAAAATTGAAGATTTTGAGTTAGTTATATCACTGAATTTGTCATTTTCTATATTTATTTGTGGTAAGAACGCCATAACTCTAGTATCAAAATTGTCCATTATATGTCGCTCAAGGCATAGTGACTCATTTTCTTTCAGACGAATCGTTTAGTTGGCATAGCGTTTTATTTCAGTTACGTCTTGACTCTTGCAGAGGAAGCATCGTTTTAGCTCCTGCTACAGTGACATATTTCTTGTTATGACAGTGTTCTGACAAGGTTAGTAATTGTTTGTTATCTTAACGTTTTGTTGAACAATGAATTATTTAGACTTAATGCGATATTGAAATGATATGTATTAAATTTCTTGCCTATATATGTCACAATATGACATTGTTGAAACTAAATGGTGTATGCGCAATCAAAATATTTTGTTTTGTGTCATTCTTACAACCAAACAAGCAGTCACTTGACTGTATGGAATTAGATCTAAGTAAAATTATGGCATTATTGAAACAAAACTGTTCAGAATTGCAATTTCAGTCATGATACATCTTTTATTATGTCATTCTTGCAACAAAGTATGTTACTAGGATATGTTTAAAGCTACATTTAAGACATTTACTCTAAGCATGATGTTTAAGTATTAACCTTATAAATCAATAAATTTGATCTTATTACAGGTAAATATGACCAGTCGAGGAAAACAACTCTTACAATTAGCATTGGAATCGGTAGAAAACACAAAACAAGCATCATCCAAGGAGCCTGAAGTGACTGAAACTTTCTCTGAGTCAGGTAAGCTGGTGAAGGATTAAGATTTGTCTAATATTTCATATAATTAAATCAACGATGATAAAAATATTTACCTTCAAATTATCTCCTACGTAATGCAAGTAGGCCTACTGTATAATCATTATAGCCTAATGGACATCATTACTGTAGCGAATACCATTGGTATTTTTTTAATAAGTCTCCCCCCAAAATATTTTATGAATTCATGCATGTTGCATAATAATGTATCTTATATTGTTCCAGGAAAGAATGTCGAAGTCCTAGTAAACCAAAACGAGACACCACCAAGTTCTTCCCAGAACACCAAGAGTGTAGGCCTAGGGATGTCGACAATGCAGTGCACACATTTGGGTGAAAGGCGTAATTCTACATCAAGCAATATTTCTTCATCAAGTAATAGCTCTTCATCAAGCAGCAGCACCTCATCATCCTCGTCAAAGAGCAGTGCATCATCAACTCATGCAGCAACACCAGAAGATGTGCTAGACTCTGATGATTCTGTTGCAGATAAGACCTACGAACCAAATTATGATGAAGATTCAGAAGGAGTTGGTAGTAATGACGATGACTCTTCCCTGACTCCAAATGTTGATACTGCTACACTTGGAAATAAGGACACCAAAGAATTAGAGAGCCCAGCTAAAAAAGGTTCGAAAAGGAAGAAACAACCAGAAAAGTGGGGGCGACATCTCCAGAAAAAACTAAGAAATGAAGGAAAACGGTATGTAATGCACACCAAAGACAGAAAAGAAAGGGAAGAAAGAAAAGTAAAGCCTCCTTGCAAGGAAAAATGCAGGTTGAAGTGCTCAATGAAATTTACTGAGGAACAAAGAATGTCCATATTTGCATCGTACTGGGAACTAGGTGATATTAACAGACAAAGGCAGTTTATTGCCAATTCAATTGATGAAATTGTACCTAGGTACAGATATGTTCGTATAGGAGGTACAAGACAACAAAGAAAACCAAACAATGCTTTTTATTTCAAACTGAATGAAGGAAGAGTTAGGGTGTGCAAATTGTTTTTCATAAACACATTAGATATTAATGACCGCCCTATCCGCACAGTCCTGGAAAAGAAGAACAAAGTTTGTGAAAACTTGATTGAAAATGATCTCAGAGGTAAACACAGTAATCACCACACTGTTGATGAAAGCATCAAGGACGGAATGAGGGCTCATATTGATTCCATTCCAAAAATTGAGAGTCATTACCTCAGGGCTAATACATCAAGAGTTTTCATTGACGGAAGCAAGACTGTTGCTGATATCCATAGAGATTATGTTTCAAACTGCAAAGAGAATAATGCACCGTTTGGGAACTACTCTATGTTCTACAAGGTGTTCACTGAAGATTACAATATTTCTTTTTTCACCCCGAAAAAAGATCAATGTGACACCTGCGCAACCTTTGAAAATGCAAGTAAAACTGAAAGAGATAATCTGCAACAGAAGTATGATCAGCACCAAGTTGAAAAAGAATTGTCAAGATCTGCGAAAGCTAGTGATAAAGTATCATCAAATGCTGCTGTAGCAGTTTATGATTTGCAGGCTGTATTCCAACTGCCCAAAGGAGATGTAATTAACTGTTCGGTAAAGCTTAATTTCTTGATGATGCAAATTAATAGACGACTGGATGATATAGAATTAGGAAAACTTTCTAATATATATATTTTTTCTCAAGGGAAAACGCTTGAACCATTGCTGCCTCGCCACCGCCGCCACCATCATCCTCATTACCATTACCATCACCATCGTCACCATTACCATTCCCATCACCGAGCATGATATCAGTAGGAGAGAAATCTTAATAACTATTCTTTTTTGCTTAGTCCCCAACCTCCGGCAGCATTTCACACACACGCAAACTTTTGTTTACTCCCCAACTCTAGGTAACATTCTCTCACACAAACACACACACTTGAAAAAAAGTTTTGGCCTTCGAAAATCAAGTAACATTCCACACGCAAACAGAAAACAGATTATCATAACGCTCGCTAAGTAACATTTCTAACGTATACAAATTATTATTCATACTATATAAATTAAATTCAGCATTAGATTCATCAGTTAAACGGTCACCTTCATCACTGTCGACAATTAATAATAACAAAACAACCTAGACCATTTAATCTGCGCAATACAAAACTTGATAAGCCCAGAGCCACTACAAAACTTGGTGCCCCTAATTAAACATGAGTTCTGTCTCTCCCTCTGCGTACTGGTGCCCCTAATTAAACTTCTCCTAATCAAAATAGTTTTTTTTTTTTTCGTCCTTATATCTTAGTGGCCCTATTTAGCATGAGCTTTCTCCTCCCTCCTGTAACTTAGGGCCCCTAATTAAAGATGAGTTTTCTCACTCCCTATAACCAAAATTACTATCCCATCTCAGAGTCCACATATTGTGTAAATGCCGATAAAATATATGAGGAGAACTATGATATAATGAAGAGAAGAAATATGAATGATGAAACACTTATAAAAAAGTTGTCCGGATCACACGCAAACATATCGCTCATTTATTTCAACAGTGACATAACTCAAAAATTGAAGATTTTGAGTTAGTTATATCACTGAATTTGTCATTTTCTATATTTATTTGTGGTAAGAACGCCATAACTCTAGTATCAAAATTGTCCATTATATGTCGCTCAAGGCATAGTGACTCATTTTCTTTCAGACGAATCGTTTAGTTGGCATAGCGTTTTATTTCAGTTACGTCTTGACTCTTGCAGAGGAAGCATCGTTTTAGCTCCTGCTACAGTGACATATTTCTTGTTATGACAGTGTTCTGACAAGGTTAGTAATTGTTTGTTATCTTAACGTTTTGTTGAACAATGAATTATTTAGACTTAATGCGATATTGAAATGATATGTATTAAATTTCTTGCCTATATATGTCACAATATGACATTGTTGAAACTAAATGGTGTATGCGCAATCAAAATATTTTGTTTTGTGTCATTCTTACAACCAAACAAGCAGTCACTTGACTGTATGGAATTAGATCTAAGTAAAATTATGGCATTATTGAAACAAAACTGTTCAGAATTGCAATTTCAGTCATGATACATCTTTTATTATGTCATTCTTGCAACAAAGTATGTTACTAGGATATGTTTAAAGCTACATTTAAGACATTTACTCTAAGCATGATGTTTAAGTATTAACCTTATAAATCAATAAATTTGATCTTATTACAGGTAAATATGACCAGTCGAGGAAAACAACTCTTACAATTAGCATTGGAATCGGTAGAAAACACAAAACAAGCATCATCCAAGGAGCCTGAAGTGACTGAAACTTTCTCTGAGTCAGGTAAGCTGGTGAAGGATTAAGATTTGTCTAATATTTCATATAATTAAATCAACGATGATAAAAATATTTACCTTCAAATTATCTCCTACGTAATGCAAGTAGGCCTACTGTATAATCATTATAGCCTAATGGACATCATTACTGTAGCGAATACCATTGGTATTTTTTTTAATAAGTCTCCCCCCAAAATATTTTATGAATTCATGCATGTTGCATAATAATGTATCTTATATTGTTCCAGGAAAGAATGTCGAAGTCCTAGTAAACCAAAACGAGACACCACCAAGTTCTTCCCAGAACACCAAGAGTGTAGGCCTAGGGATGTCGACAATGCAGTGCACACATTTGGGTGAAAGGCGTAATTCTACATCAAGCAATATTTCTTCATCAAGTAATAGCTCTTCATCAAGCAGCAGCACCTCATCATCCTCGTCAAAGAGCAGTGCATCATCAACTCATGCAGCAACACCAGAAGATGTGCTAGACTCTGATGATTCTGTTGCAGATAAGACCTACGAACCAAATTATGATGAAGATTCAGAAGGAGTTGGTAGTAATGACGATGACTCTTCCCTGACTCCAAATGTTGATACTGCTACACTTGGAAATAAGGACACCAAAGAATTAGAGAGCCCAGCTAAAAAAGGTTCGAAAAGGAAGAAACAACTAGAAAAGTGGGGGCGACATCTCCATAAAAAACTAAGAAATGAAGGAAAACGGTATGTAATGCACACCAAAGACAGAAAAGAAAGGGAAGAAAGAAAAGTAAAGCCTCCTTGCAAGGAAAAATGCAGGTTGAAGTGCTCAATGAAATTTACTGAGGAACAAAGAATGTCCATATTTGCATCGTACTGGGAACTAGGTGATATTGACAGACAAAGGCAGTTTATTGCCAATTCAATTGATGAAATTGTACCTAGGTACAGATATGTTCGTATAGGAGGTACAAGACAACAAAGAAAACCAAACAATGCTTTTTATTTCAAACTGAATGAAGGAAGAGTTAGGGTGTGCAAATTGTTTTTCATAAACACATTAGATATTAATGACCGCCCTATCCGCACAGTCCTGGAAAAGAAGAACAAAGTTTGTGAAAACTTGATTGAAAATGATCTCAGAGGTAAACACAGTAATCACCACACTGTTGATGAAAGCATCAAGGACGGAATGAGGGCTCATATTGATTCCATTCCAAAAATTGAGAGTCATTACCTCAGGGCTAATACATCAAGAGTTTTCATTGACGGAAACAAGACTGTTGCTGATATCCATAGAGATTATGTTTCAAACTGCAAAGAGAATAATGCATCGTTTGGGAACTACTCTATGTTCTACAAGGTGTTCACTGAAGATTACAATATTTCTTTTTTCACCCCGAAAAAAGATCAATGTGACACCTGCGCAACCTTTGAAAATGCAAGTAAAACTGAAAGAGATAATCTGCAACAGAAGTATGATCAGCACCAAGTTGAAAAAGAATTGTCAAGATCTGCGAAAGCTAGTGATAAAGTATCATCAAATGCTGCTGTAG